GAATGATGCTTCAAACAGGCTCAAAATTTTCCTGTGGTTTCCCTTTTTATTCAAGAAATGCTAGCATGTCTAGCTCATTATGATTTCGCCTCTGTCTATCCAGCCAGGCTCAAATTTTGCCTGGATAAGCCCCAGTTTCCCAATCTCCTCATACCAGCATTACTGACATCACATCCTGTATACCCTATAGCAGCTCTCTTTCTAGGATCTGGCCCCCCACCCTGGCTTTGTGTTGTGCGCTACTTTTGTCTGGAATGTTTTTTCCTCTTCCCTCAGGGCACTCGTCCTGTTCTTCATGTCTCATTCACTTGTGACCTCTTTGAAACCGTCACGGACTACTGTGACTATCTCTTATGATTTAATTGTATGTTTTAATACTTTATTGAGATATAGCATATCACATTGTTCACCTATTTTGGTTATATAATTTGATGGTTTTTAGTGTATTACAAAGTTATGCAACCATCACCATGATCTAACTTCAGAACATTTTTATTATCCCCAAAAGAAAGACTTAGTCTTTGTTCTTGAAACTCATATGCCTGGAACGGAAGACAGACAGTAAACGAGTAATTACCAATGTGATGGGTATTTTCAAGACTTGCTTGGTAAAGAGTGCAATGGGAGTGTTCTAGCTCACTTGGCAATTATTTGTCCCATTAAAGTTGTTTTTAATCCAAAATCGGCTCTTTCATACCTTAACATTTAATTATGTTTTACTTTCTTGTGAGAAAACTGGTCATTAAGTTGTATTAACCTACCATACTCTGGTCAGCCAGAGGGCCCGAGATGACCATTTGTATTTGGCAAAGTAGAGGATGTGAGGTTGTGTGATTGGGTTTTCCAGGAAACAGATGCCAAGACAGACTTAGAATGGTAAGAGATTTATTGGCAATAACCTTTGTGAATTATGAAGGGGCAAGGAGTCTGTAGGGAAAGCCTTCAGACTGCAGTGCAGCTCTGACACCTGTGAAAAGGAAGGAGGACTGGGCGGGATGAGCCTCAGACTGAGGTGCAGTCTGAGAAAGTTCCGGCCAGCCCAGCGGGGAGCTCTAGCATGCTGGGCAGAAACGGTGGGTCCTTGTACTAGTGATGTGCTCAGTCAGGGACCGCACGCTTGCCATCTTCCAGAGAAGGCTGCAGCTTGTGAAGAGGCCCTGTCCCCACAGCTCTCTCAGGCTCTGGTAACCACTCTTACTCTTGACCCTTCAGGTATGCACGTTAATAGCCTCAAGTACTGCACTATCCCTTATGGTTTCCTTACACCCTGCCCATACTTTTGAAGAGTGCTTTTATGGAAATTTCCTCAAATTACCCAATTTGAAGATGCCATTTGCTCCTGCTAGGATCCTGACTTATTGCTAAGGTTATTAGTGACCTTGAAGAGTTTTTTCTTTGGAATGGTAGAAATCAGTGGCTGATTGGTATGGGTTCAAGAGAAAATGGGAAGTAGTAAGATGGAGGCATGAGTATAAGGGGATATTTTCCTATAAGAGGAGGTAGAGAGATAGGCAAGTAGCTGGAGAGGGGTCTAGGGAAGGTTTTTCTACAGTTATGTCTTCTAAATGCAAGTGACTAAAAGTTTATCAGATTCAGAAGAAAAGCTCTAGTAACTAGGTGCACTGTGGATCATAGGAACTAGAACCAGGCACTTAACCTCATCGGGACTATTCTTTTTTTTACCCTGCATTTATTTTTATTAGCATTTATTTGATGCTGAATTTACTCCTGGGCCACAAGTTTTTGTTTCTTCAGTTCCTTCTGGAATATATTTTTCTTCTGTGCAACCTCTGCTTCTGCTTTAGGACAATCTGCTCTTTTTCAGTAGGATCCTCTATCTCAGTGTGACAGGGAGAGCTCATGGGTGGGTTTTAATCCACCCATGAGCTCTGTAAGTTCTGTCCCACATCTTGAGGGCTTTGTTCACCTGCATGTGCTCAGTGACTAGAGAATCTACATCTAAACCCTTAAGTTCACCCTTACTCTGGATTTTTAAGTGTGTGCAGCAAAAACTCAGCACTCTTTCCGGGGCTACTGACCCTGTGTTCAGCCCCACTGTTTGGCCCGGGAACACCTACCAACTCTATCCTTGTAATGACAGAATGGCACACATCACTTCGGTAAAATGACATCCTTCAGCTACTTGGTGGCTTCAAATACTTGATGGCTTGGGCAGTTTCACGAGTGTTCTTAAAGTGAACGTAAAAATTTAAACCTTTCGATTTGCATGTTTGTGGGGTTTTCTGGGTCAAGTGAAAAGTGAACCATTTTCAGAGGCCACCTCAGGCCATTTACTGGAGAGGAGGACTCTATTTCTTCATCTTTTTCTCTTTTTTCTTTCCTTGTTTTAGTTTGGCTTCATTTTTCCCTATTGTAAATGAATGTTATTTATGTGGCAGAGAATATTGTCATTTTAAGTGCTATCAGAAAAATCACAAGGGAAGACTTAGACCAGGCTGGCTTGGTTGCTTGATCATTTCTGAGTCAACTTTTATGGCCCACCTTAGTCACATGCTTTTCCCTATGGAGGGGGTGAACCTATTACTATAAGGTGTGGAAGAAGGGGCGATAGGCATTAGGGGATTAGCCTGGGAAGTCAGAGAAAAACATGAACCAACTGGTGGAAAGTTTCTGGAGGTAGAGGAATAGCAACAGCTGGCTGGACCAGGGGAGAAAAAAAAAATCCACAGTAGCATGAATATGAATGAATGAGAATAATAGATGGGTGGAGTGACCTGTATGTGAGGGAATGGCCAAGGACTTTGAAGATGTATGGTAGGGTGGACATCTGAAATAATCTCAGCATACACAAATGGGGGGTGGGATCTTAGTTTGAAGTTGTTGTTTTCAAGAGGGTCCTAAAATGGTGGTAGGTCAGTGGCTCCTGGGGTGGTTGGCACAAGCTAGACAGAGCAGCATATTTGTGGATGCTTCAAAAGACAACTGGATATTTATCTGCCAGTAAGGCCACCCAGTACATCACTTTCACCTGAAGGGAATGAGTCATTCTCTTTTTGCATCATTCTGTGCAAAATGCTTTCGTAAACTGCTTCTATAATTAGGAGGTCTTATGCCTTAGGGCATTTGTGACTGGTTGAAGTGAGTTGATATCTCTTAGCCATCAAAAAAATGGTGCATGGCTCAGTGCCTAGTAGAACCAAGGTCTTGGGAAGTGGCCAAGGATTCTTTGGAGCTGTTTTCTTGATTGCATCAGCCTAAGACAAAGCTTACAGCACAAGTGAAAACAACTGAAATGTAGACAATTCTTTGCAGTCCTCTAAACACTGTTGATATATATTATTAATTTTATCCTCACATCAACCTGGAACATAATGTTATCCTTATCTCAAATAAGGAAACAGAGGCTATGTAAAACAACTTGTTTAGGATTTTATAACTGTTACATTTTAACTCCCAAGGTGAGAATGTGAATTTTCTTATAAACTTATAGTAAGATTTTACTAAAGAATAAATACATTATTTTGTGGAGTTTAATGGTATAAGTCAAAGTGAAATAGTCATAGGGAAATATGTAAATATACTGTTAACAACAATGACAAAATAATAGCAACTAGTATTTACTGAGTGCCAAGGGTCATACTAAACACTATGAACATTTACTAACTCATTATGTTACTGGACAGGGGCCTGGTCAAGTGGGTGTGCCTAGGGCCAGCTGCAGTGTGTGGGTTCTTGACTTCGTGTAGAAAAGACTTCATGAGTCCAGGTGCCTATGAGGGTCCATTTATTAAACGGGGACAGTGAAACAAGTAAGGGCTTAGCACAGAAGCAGCAACGGGAGAGCCTGGGCTGGGCTGCCTGAGCTCACTGGGAAGTTGGAGAAAAGGGGGCCTTGGGGACGGGTTCAGGGGATTAGTCTGGGACAAGCTGCCAGCTGTCTATTGCCTTAGAGTCTAGGAAACTGATGCCTGTGAAGAAAGAAGTTGGGGGGTGGGTGGAGGGCAAGAAAAAAGTGAGAGGAGGAGGGCAGTGAAAAAGGGAATGGCTAGGGCCGCTCCCCAGAGGGAGAGCTGGGGCAGGGTTCTTTGTCTTGAGGCTTTTATCTCTTTCTTGAAGACAAGAATCTTAGGGGAGGTCTCAGGGGAGGGTTCAGTGGAATAGCCATCAGTTCTCCAGGCGCGCTCTTTCAGGGTTGTGGTCTCCAGAGAACGGGAAGCAGCAGAGCAGGGGTTCTTTAGCTGCTGTAGGGGATCCTGACATCGCCCACCTGGTTGTGCTGCTCCTCTGGGCCTGGAGCTGAAACACAACTGAGGCCTGGATGTGACCTCCTAGATGTTGTCTCCAGGGAGAAAAGGTCAGGGGTAGGGTTGCCTGGGGGTGGGGTCCTTGTTTTCCCAGTGTTGCCCCTGTCTGGCAGGAGGCCCTGGCGACCATCTGCACCTGGCTGTAAATTGCTCGGCCATTGGGTTCAGCTGTCTGTCTCAGTTTCCCTATTCCACTTGCCAAGGAATTTCCTAGCTTCTTCCCATCCTATCTCAATAACAACTCATTGAATTATTTATTATCATTTCTTTTTACAGATGAGGAATACTATTACTACACTGTTACTATCACCACCATTATGATGAATGGAAATGGGAATAGGCCATATACAAGAAAATCAATTATTAGTTTAATTTGGGAAATGAACACTAGGCCAGCGAAGAAGAGAGAAAAGGATAAGTCCCTGAGACTAAGACAAATGATAGCCTCTGTCCATATGAAGCAAGCCACCTGCATTTCCTAGGCAATTTATCACTCCTTTTGAGCATCAGCACTTTCTTGGTCTTCAGATTGAGTCTACATCCTCAAATTGTAGCGTAAATATTGCTGTGCTAAGTAGAATGGGGATTAAAAGAAATAGAAGTGACCAAGGACTAATACAGCTGGGGATATGGGAGAATGGTGATGCTATCTACCCATGAGTTGGGAAGGGCGGTAATAAGGAATATAAAATTGTGAAATAAGCAGAAGAGGTTTTTTTTTAAAAGATTTTATTTATTTACTTTCAGAAAGACAGGAAGGGAGGGAGAAAGGGAGGGAGAGAAACATCAATGTGTGGTTGCCTCTTGTGTGCCCGACCCCCGCACCGGGGACCTGGCCTGCAACCCAGGCACGTGCCGTGACTGGAAATCGAACTGGCCAACCTTTGGTTCACTGGCTGGCACTCAATCCACTGAGTCACTCCAGCCAGGGCAAGAGTTTGGTTTTAGATGTACTGAGTTTCTTCACACTGATGTTTGGACTTTGGGAGACAGGCAAATGGAGAGTTCCTGCAGATAGCAAACGATTTAGGCCTGGGTTAAGGTGAATGATTCAAGCTCAAGCACACATCTGGAAATTATTGAGCAGGGTGGTAATGGTTAACACCACTAACATGGATTTGATCTTTGAGGTGGTGAATAACAAGAAAGAAGAGCAATGTATTCAGTCTTAGGGGTGCCCATAGTGAAAGACTAAAGGGATGCCAAAAGCTTAAATATGTACATGGTATGTATTTATTTGTTTGTTTGCTTATTTCTTTATTTAATGTTACATGGGTAATGTGCCCATGTTGTAATAAGTTTTGGGGGAGGCACAACTCATACAACAGCGTGAACACTCAATCATCATGTGTATGAACGACACATTCAGTACGTATATGGCATTTAGTTGCAATGATTTTCAGAGTGCTTTTCAAACAATAATTTCCCATGAAGCCGCCATAAAATCTGAATGACGAAACTATTAGGTTCACAATATTCTTTTACTCTGTAATAGTAATAACTGATTTATTTTAGGCTTAAATGCTATTGCAAGAAATGTGATGGCCTGAAAGACAGTATTTTTTCTTTTGATTTAATTATTATTGTATTGTTTTCCATTACCATTTAATCCCTTATACCCATGTCCCTGAGTCCTTTTCAAAGGACAGTATTATTGTAAGTTATTTCCTCTGAAGTTGAAATTCATTAAAGACATATTAAATGAGAGACAATAAAATGGGGGAAAGAAAAGGAGAATAATTATATTAAAGAACTGAATTGCAAGAAAAGATGTTTTAAGACTAGCTTCCAGGAAGCCAAAGCAAAAAGCGAACATAGTGAGTTAACCAGGTACCGTCCCATAGAGTTTCTGAAACATGATTAATTGTCACTCTCACAAGGGCCCTCCCTAACCTGGAGATTCGGATAAATGGGTCTGGCTTGCAGTCTGGGAAGCTGTGCATGTTTTAAAAGTTCCCCCGGTGACTCAGAGAATTTGACAAGTACTAGTCCAACAATGGAAACACACCAGTTCATAGAACAGAAAAATGTTTTTTCCTAGCTCTGAAATCTGTTATTTTGTCCCATGGACACTGAGGGACATTGAATAATAAAACAGAACTGTCCTCAATAGCCTTAAAAAACAAAAAGCAGGTAGATATTTTACATGTGTGTACCTCATGCTGACCTTCAATACAATAAAAACCCACACAATGTTAAATTAGAATTGATGTAGGAAAAGAACCAATGGAAAAATTACATTCCTTGGTCTTCTTCAGAAATTCAGATTCAGTAAATCTGGGTAGGGACCAGAAATTTGCATTTGTAGTAAGCACTCCAGTTGAGAGTGATAAAAATGGCCCAAGATCACATTTCTGCTCTGAAAGAATGAATGGTTAACAGTATTTCTTAAAGTTTCAGGTTTAGATATAAAATCTTGAGATATGCTATTTGTGGTATACATTTTTGCAATTTTTTGAAAATTGAAGCAAGGGAATGAAGCAGGATTAATATGGTCCCACAAATTAGGCTGGGAAAACTTCTGTGATATAAAACCAGAGAGCTTTTTCTAACGAAAAATTTTCTTCAGCCCTTGGGAAAATATCGACAGTGTAGATTGTATTATATGCCAAAAGAATAGTCTCACCTTAAAAGGAAGAAATTGATACTCAATGGATTAAAATCTTACAGCATAATGGGGGGGAAAAACCATAGGAAAACTAATTAACTAGTAGTCTTTTGGTAAAGATGCATTTTACTCACAACACATAAGTACCAGAGATACCATAGTATTAATATAATCATGCACAAAATAGGGTCATATACTTGAACCCTGAATTGCTGCAGCCTAACTTATATTTGGAAACGACTGATTTATAGCAACACATGTTTTTTTCTAGATTGGTCTTCAATTTAAGTATATCAAGAATAAAATTGTTTTCTTCAGAGGCATACTTCTTTGGTTCTTTGTGATAATTAACCACCCCAAACTTCTTAAAAACTTTAGTAAAAATAAGTGAGGCGAGCCGTCATACATGTTAGCTTTCCTGCAGAATTTGTGGTGGGTAACTTCACCGACCACAGAGAAAAAGTGGTGTTGGCTGAACACTCTGAGAGAAGACAAGTCCTCTCTACTTTTTACATTGGATACATACTAAATCCTAAATTCAGTTTACATCTCAACAACAGAAATAAACTATGATAGATCTTTAATAATCTACCATATTGTGACTGGAAAACAAAGTCGGGATCTGCTTTAGAGCTACTTGCTGGATACACTAAACTTGGGTCTAGTTCTCTTTAGATGGTTTTCATACTACAGTGAAACTTTCAAACTCTCCAGTTCACCTGAATTCTCCAGGTCCTTCAGTCTAGATAATAGGTAAGGATAATTACTCTTAGGGAAAACTTTGTGCTTGAAAATTGTATCAATTAAGGAATACAAACTTAAAGATTCTGATTTTAAACCTAAGAGAACATTAAATAAGCATGTACCTCTCATTGTTTCCAGTTCCTGATAATCTTTCAGGAGAAAATTCTAGTATGAAGGTGCTTGCTCCATTGGACTAATGAGCTGGAAACTACTCATCGTGTAATGTCAGTATTTTTTGCATTATTTTATTTTTTAAGTATGTTTTATTATGATATTACAGTTGCCCTAATTTTTCCATTTGCCCCACTCCACCTGGTACCCCTACTCTCTCCAGCAATCCCCTCACTTAGTTCATGTCCACGGATCATGCATATAAGTTCTTTGGCTACTCCATTTCCTATACTGTTCTCCTCCTCCTCCTCCTCCTCCTTCTTTTTTTAAGTGATTTTAGAGAGAGGAGAAAAGAGGGAGAAAGAAAGGGAGAGAAACATGATGTGTGAGAAAAAGTGATCAGTTGCTATTCTCACACCCCCAACTGGGGACTTGGCCCACAACTCAGGCATGTTGCTTGACTGGGAATCGATCCAGCAATCTTTTGGTGTGAAGGCCGGTGCTCAATTCACTGAGCCACACCAGCCAGGGCTCCTATACTGTTCTTAACACCCCTCTGTCTATTTTGTACCTACCAATTCGTGCTTCTTAATCCCTGCACCTTTTCCCCCTCCCAGCAGTAACCTTCCAAATGATCGCCATGTCTATAATTCTGTTCCTGTTCTGCTTGTTTGCTTACTTTGTTTAGATTCAGTTGTTGATAGTTGTGAACTCATTGCCATTTTCATGTTCATAGTTTTGATCTTCTTTTTCTTACATAATTTCCTTTAACATTTCATATAATGGCTTGGTGATGATGAACTCCACTAGTTTTACCTTGTCTGGGAAGCACTTTATCTGACCTTCCATTCTAAATGATAGCTTTGCTCGATACAATAATCTTGGATGTAGGTCCTTGTTTTTCATCACTTTGAATACTCGTTGCCAGTCCCTTCTAGTCTGCAAAGTTTCTTTTGAAAAATCAGCCTTGTCATATGGGAACTTCTTTGTAGGTGACTCTGCTTTTCTCTTGCTGCTTTTAAGATTCTCTCTTTGTCTTTAACCTTTGGCATTTTAATTACGATGTGTCTTGGTGTGGTCCTCTTTGGGTCCAACTTGTTTGGGACTCTGTGCTTCTTGGACTTGTATGTCCATTTCCTTCACCAAATTAGGTATGTATTCCTTCATTTTTTCAAATAAGTTTTCAATTTCTTGCTCTTACTCTTCTCCTTCTGGCACTCCTATGATTTGAATGTTGGTACATTTAAAGTTGTTCCCGAGGTTCCTAAACCTATCCTCATTTTTTTGAATTTTTTTCTCCCTGCTCTTCTGATTAAAAGCTTTTTCCTTTGTGTTCCAAATTGTTGATTTCCTTCTTAGCTTCATCCCCTCCACTGTTGGTTCCCTGTAGATTTTTATTTCACTTGATGCAACTTTCATTTCTGCCTGGGTCTATTTTTATGCTGTTGCAGTATCCACTGGTTTTTTAAGCATCCTGATAACCAGTGTTTTGAATTCTGTATCTGATAGGTTGGCTATCTCCATTTCACTTAGTTATTATTTTTTTTTTTTTTTGTAGTTTTGATCTGTTCTTTCATTTGGGCCGTATTTCTTTGTCTCCTCAATTTGGCAGCCTCCCTGTTTGTTTCCGTGTATGAGGTAGAGCTGCTTTGATTCTGTCTTAGTAGTGTGGCCTACTGTAGAAACGGCACCTGTAAATTGTGTGGGGTAGAGCCTTAGATAATTGCCTGGGCAGGGCAACCTGTTTCACTGCTTTGTGGCTCTGTGTGGGATGAGGACTGAGAGAGGGGACAATGCCACTGCCTGGCCTCTGGAGACTGCCTGGGAGGAAGCTGTCTCCTGGCACTCACACTTGTACTTTCACCCTGTATGCCACTAATGCCCTTCCAGCTGTCGCCCTGGTACTGAATCCCAAAGATGGTGGGTCGGCCTGAGTCCTACGTCTGTTGTGGGCCCTTTAAAAGGAGTCTTTTGAGAATTCTGCAGTTTCATTGGCTGCCCTAGCCCCCACTGGTTTTTACAGCCATTAGTTATGGGGACTTATCTTCCTGGTGCTGGAACCCTGGGGCTGCATGGTCTGCCCTGGGGCTGGGATTGCTCATTCCTGATGTATCCCTCCCGATTTTTATCCACCACACGTGAATGTGGGGCTGCCCATTCTGCTGCCTCTCCACCCTACTCCATGTCTCCATGCCTCTCCACATCGCTGCCCCTCCTACCTGCTGGATTAATGTGGCTTCTTTAAATCCTTGGTTGTCGGACTCCCATAATTCTCAGCTTTCTGATGGTTCTGGGTGATATCTGCTTTGTAGTCTAGGTGTAATTTTTGCTGTAGTTGTGTGTGGAGGCCAAGTGTGTTTAGCTACCTTCTATCTTGACTGGAAGCCTCTGTGGTATCAGTATTTTGACATTAAAATGTTTGGTTTATATCAAATTAGTAAAATGTACCTAATTAAAAAAATTAAAGATTACCAACAGGAAAATTCATTCCCCCTTTGTCTTTTAAGAGTTTAACCTGATATGCTTATACTTTCATTAATTTTAGACTTCATTGACTTTGTGCATCATACGTGATGTTTTAACATTCTCAAGCTCCCACTTCCTTTTCTCTAACATAAATTTTAGTCAGTGTTTACATTATTGCCAATGTAAAAATGCAGAGGCAGATGGCATTTCATAATTATTTCCTTCACTGAATACCCTTTGTTTTTTGGAATTATTGCCTCGTTTTTGTTTTTGTTTTAAATGGGAGTATGTTCACTGGTCCTTGTTTTAGTTGCTCAGCGAGAGCTGTTTCAGGACCACCAGCAGTTTTTGCCCCCTTCAAGGCTCAAACATGCTAGGTAATCTCAGTTCCATTTCCCACCCTGGAGTACCCTGGCTGAAGCCCCCACTTGCTCCT